AGAGGCGTTGCAGCAAAAGCTACGTGGGCTGTATCAAAAACCTGGAAATATCCAGATCGACCTTTGACTTACTCAGAAATTCCTATGGAGTGAGAAAAGGCTGTATCCTTGAGGTGGGAAGCAGTTTATTAATATTGGAATGAGTTTCTATAAATGTCCACTGGGTTATTAACACAATGAAGTAATAAAATCGAAAACAGTGGGGTGAACAGGAAAGAGGTGGGGCAAGTCCGCAGTGGCCTCCACCATGGGAGGGTCAGTGTGTGGTGGGCCTGACGCTGCTGTTTCCTCTCCTTTGTGACCAGCCTATCCGGAGTGTTAGCTTCTTGAAAGGCGGCTACATTGAGTTGCCACCCAAGCCTCTGTCACCAGAATCGGAGTTGTTGGCCACATTTGCCACCACAAGCAGCAGTGGCATCATCCTGGCTGCCCTGGGCAAGCGTGGGGAGAATCGGCAGGTCCATGGGGTGAGTAGCTCAAATGCTATTGAGCCACGAGCTCAGGGAAATGACCTCGGGAACAACTGGATGGAAATGACTTAGTTGTAAACGGTTATTGTTTATGGGCATGAATTTTTAATAAGTAAAAGTGACTATTGCTGAATATCTTTCCCTTATGAATCCGTGATTTCTTTGTGTTGCATAATCCATGTTCCTTTTTTGGCTACTGAGAAGAAAGATACTTGCTGTCTACCTTTAATCCTTTTTAAACTTACTCAGATAGTATATACTAAATTCTCTTCTACATATTATGGTTGTTACTCTTATCCTTTGTCTAAAACAGCAAGTCTTGAAATTCTGTAAAGTTATTTAGAATACTGTTCCATGAAGCAGGATTTTGTTTACCTATTATTATAGGACTAGAACAGTGATGACATGCAAACTCATTTTTTTGGTTGATTTTTCTTTGTTAAGTGGCATTTAAATATATAAAATAAATATCAAAAATATAAGTCTTTGTTTTACTATGGTTGCAAATATCAAAAAATTTCTACATGTGACACGGCACCAGAGTTAAGTTAGGGTTTTTCAAAATGCTGACATGCCGAGCTCAAAAGGTTCACCATCACTGGACTAGAGGCCTGGTGCACCAAATTCATGCACTGAGAGTGGGGGGGTCCCTCGGCCCAGCCTGCCCCCTCTCACAGTCTGGGAGCCCTCAGGGGATGTCCTACTGACAGCTTAGAGGAGTGGGGAGTTGGCCTAAGCCTCAGTCTGGCCTCCCTCTGTGGGAGGTGACCAGCAGGCCAATTGGGATGGTGTGGGCAGTGAGCAGCCAGCCCTGCCCCCAGTTGCACCACAGCCATTGGTGGCTTCCCTCTGCAGGAGGCAGCCCCAGCAGGCCTATCTGGGGACAGTGCTGGGCGGCCCTGCCCTGAATCTCCTTGCCACTGCTGCAGCCCATGGCCCTCCCTATGCGGGAGGCGACCAGGTGGGCAATCAGGGGATGGCGCCAGCCCCCATCATCCCACTGCCGCTGGTTGCCCCCCCCCACACACACACACACCATTGCCGTCCCCTCCCTCTTCCTGCTGGCATGCGCCTTGGCTGGCCTGGCGACACCTGCTTGCTGGCCCCGCCCCCCAATGACTGGTTGTTCCACCGTTTGGTCTATTTGCATATTACACATTTATTATATAGGATTACTTTACTTGGAGAGAGATTTACCCACCAAAATGAGCTCTAGAAGGAGTGTTTTTCAAGGTGTGGTCCTACATTTTAATAGGCAACCCAGATGAGTGTTATGCATTGTGTTATTTGAGAGGATCTCTTTTGAAGTGTGACACTTCAGTAAAGAGACATTGGCTCATTAAAATTATGCCTCTGGCATGACCACATTCAGTATCTGATTTTTATTGTTAAAAATTGAGCACCCAATATCTCTTTATCAATCTATATAGGCTCATAATGTTTCCACATCTTGAAAGTCCCCATACTCACAGAGCATTGAATGACTTCGATAAGTATTTTTAAGGGATCATGCAGGAAAGCTAATTTAGGTGATCGGAATGTGTAGTAGATAGATAATATCCTAGATTAGGAGAAAAGATGGCACATTAGCCTTACATGGTGGTGGCTGAAGGCAGAAAAACAAACGTTGCAGCAAAGAAAGAGCACTAAGTCTGTCTTCTGTCCTAATTGTTTGGCTATTGCTGAACTAAGCAAGCTCCCTTACACTGTTCCTTTTCCTTGATACCTTCTCCAAATTGTTAGAATCACCCATTCAACAAACTGGAAAACCTAGGCTAATACCATTTGCTTTCATCCCTGTGTAATCAGCCAAATAGTTCCATCAGGTTTCCTCATAAATATGTCTCTGATCCACTGCCTCTGTCTAGTCCTAACATCAGTCTCTCTTTTTCTTGGGCCCCAAAACACTGCAGCTGTCTAAATTGATCCTCCCCACAGTCACCAGAATGGTCTTAAAATGAAAGCAAGACCAAGATGCTCCCATGCTTGACATTCTCCACTTTTCCTCCTTCTGTGGAATAAAATCTAAGCTCCCTGCTATGGTATATAAGACCCTCAGTGGTCTGTCGTCTGCCTACTCCTCAGGCCGCTGTGGACCCAGGCCTGACTTCCACCGCAGGCCCACCCCACCCCCTGCCCCCCTACCTGTGTCTGCTCCAGGGCTGCCCGAGCCAGCATGGTGGTGTGACAGCTCGGGCAGAACCCCTTTTCTCTGTTTCCATCACCACTCCGGGCCTCAAGTGTGCGCTCCACCTCCTCCTGACCGGTCGTGACTGTTATAGCATCCCGGCCTAATTTGCACATTACCTCTTCATATATATATATAGATCGAAAGGAGCAGAAAGAGAAATGTGGCCTGTGATAAGCAGTGAGTGGACCAGCATAGGAGAAGAGAGAAAAGTTGATGTTTTTCCATATTAATATTTCATTTCAGTAGCATAGGTGACACTGACCCTTTCCTCTGCTCAAACTTGCATGTCATAAAAGTAACTACTTTAAAGTGAACAATTTAGTGACATTTAGAGCTCTTGCAATGTTGTGAGGCCACCTCCTCTATCTAGTTCCAAAACATTTTCATCACCCAAAGTAACAGCCTATGACATTAAGCAGCTACTTCCCACTCCCCTTTCTCCCTGCCCTGGGAACTACCAATCTTCTTTCTATATCTGTGAATTAATTTATCTGGTCTGTATGTTTTATATAAAAGGACTCATACAACATGTGATCTTTAGTGTCTTTCACTTAACATGTTTTTAAGGTTCATTATAGCATGCCTCAGTATTTTTCATAACTAACATACATGTATGTACATAGCATAATTAGTTCATTGCTGAACATTTGGGGTTACCTTTTGGCTATTGTGAATAATGCTGCTATCAATATTCACATACAAAAATGTTTGAGTACTTGCTTTCATTTATTTTAGGTGCATATCTAGGAATGGAACTCCTGGGCCATGTGATAATTGTATGGTTAACTTTTTGAGGAACCATCAGTCTGTCTGCCTCCATCAGTCTTAACAAGACCACTTGCAAATCAAAGTTTGCTATTAACTTAGCAAAAAGGAATGCTGTCACCCACTGCTAGCAGTTCTGTTGGTGGATGGACCTCTTTTCAATCTGGCACCAAAAGTTTAAAGAGCTTTAAATATTTTCAAAACCTTCAACTCTTTAATCCCACTTTTACAAACATTAGAAACAATTTCACAGGAAAAAAAAGTTAAATGTTCATTATGTATGATTGTTAAAAACTGTATATAAAGTACCTACATTTGTTATTGTTGTGAATCCTCACCCAAGGGTATTTTTGGCATTGATTTTTAGAGAAAGTGGAAGGGAGGAAGGGATGAAGAGAGAAAGAGAAACATTAATGTGAGAAAGATATACTGATTGGTTGCCTCCCGCATAAGACCCAGATTGAACCTGAACCGAGGTATATGCCCTTGACTGGCAAGGTAACCCTACTGCATTCATGATAGAAATGTAAGTTGGTGCAGTCACTATGGAAAACACTATGGAGTTTTATCAAAAAGTTAAAAAATAGAACTACAGTCTGACCCAGTTGTACATCTGGGTATATACTGGGGGGAAATGAAACCACTATCTGGAAAAGATATCTGCACCCCCATGTTCATTGCAGAATTCTTTATAATAGCCAAGACATGTATGTTAACTAAATTTAATTGTAATCATTTTACAACATATACATATGTCAAATCATTATGTTGTACGTCTTGAACTAATACAGTGTTAATGTGTGAATTATATCTCAATCAATAACACTGGGAAAAAAGAGAAATAGATTAGTGACTTACAATATATTTGTTGGTACATAATGTGGCAATAAAAAGTATGAAAATGATGTGGAAATTCAAACCTTTGATATGGTGTGTGATAATAACATAATACAGAATATAAAATATGAGTAGAGATTATACAGTAATATAGAAAATTTAAAATGGTTGTTTTAGATGGTGATATTTTTAAGAAATTGATTACTTGATGCTAATATTCCCACATTACCTTTATGACAGTTTTTAAAATCATATAGTCATGTTTTTTGTGGAATTCTCTATGAAATCTTTCCAGCCCTTCTTCTCCATCATGCTCATTGAAGGCCACATTGAAGTGCATGTTAATCCTGGGGATGGGACCAGCCTGAGAAGAGCTCTCCTGCACGCTCCCACGGGCACGTACAGCGACGGACAAGACCACTCTGTCTCCTTGATACGGAGCGGGAGGTATTTGTGTAACGAGGGCGTGGTGACCTCACAGAGGCTCCACAATAGGAATCTTGTTATGCCTCTTTCTATGAGTGATTGGGGTGATTACTGTGACATCATTAGCAGTCAGTTTCTCATTGCAGTCACAGTTTTTATAGTTCTGGATAATTCAAAATAATTCTAGAACCTGGCTAGAATCCCTCCTTTGGAATTATTTTATATGCTTTGTCATCGTTGCAGAATTTTCATAATTGAACCTTAACTCTGCCATTTTCTGAGACCCAGTATAAATTATCTTTACATTGGAATAATTGTGACAAATAGTATTAGTAAATAGCACTCTATCAATACTGAAAAATACAGGGTAAAATGTAAAGAATAAGTAAAATGTGTAATATCAACATTCCTATATATTTCACTTGAAAACTATAGATCAAATGTTTTAAAAGCACACTGGACATTTTATTACAGGTAAAGAAGTAAAAAAAGAACAACTCTCTTAAAAGCAATTGAGTTTAATAATATCTAATAACATTCCATTCATTTTTGGAGAATGTTCAATTGTAGGTTTTAACTTTCAAGATTCACCTTTTCATTCACACATAATGCCATGTTAAATTTTATTTTCAGGGAACTTTTATTATTTAATACAGACTTGTGGAATTATGTATTAAAGTGGATAATTTTCATTATATTTCTTTTATTTTCTCCTTCAATCTTTTAGAATTATCACTGTCCAACTGGATGAGACAAAACCTGTAGAAATGAACTTGGGCCCATTGGCGGAAAGCATGACAATAAATGTGTCCAACCTGTACATAGGGGGTGTTCCAGAGGGTGAGGGGGCAGCAATGCTCCAGATGAGAAGGTCATTCCATGGCTGTATCAGAAACCTCATCTTTAACATGGAGTAAGTGTAACTGCTCTCAGCATGTTTGTGACTGCCAGATTTTTTAATACTCGGTACTGACACTAATCTGCCACCTAAATATTCTGTTTGAGATTACTTAAAGAGAGACTATTCCCAGGTGTGCCATCAGAGAAGGCCTTGGGCAATGGCACTGTTTAAATGTGAGGGGAAGGGATGCACTCTCTGAAGGAGTGAAAGGAAGGAGCAACTAGGCAGAACAGGAGCAAACCCATGGATGGGAACAGAGGTAACTGGAGTGGAAAGAGAGTTGGAAGAACAGTTGGGGCCGATATCCCATCCACCTGTGCAGGTGCCCACCAGCTTGCTAGTGCTTCACTCTACATAAGGACATTCAAGGTCACAGGCCTTAGAGCAGTGGTTCTCAACCTGTGGGTCTCGACCCCTTTAGCGGTCGAGAACGACCCTTTCACAGGGGTCGCCTAAGACCATCCTGCATATCAGAGATTTACATTACAATTCATAACAGCAGCAACATTAGAGTTATGAAGTAGCAACGAAAATAATTTTATGGTTGGGTCACAACATTTGGAACTGTATTTAAAGGACCAGAACGTTGAGAACCACTGCTCAAAAAGCATTGCTTGGTTTTATTCTGATCTTCTGCAACAATATCAATATTTTTTTTAAGAATTTTATTTGTTCAATAAGTAGGTAACATTGATTCATGTGTTAGCTTGCAATCTTTTGATTATTTTTGAAAACACTTTGTGTCTAGACCTTTGGATTTCACTGGTGCGGTCGGCTATGAGCAAGTGGACTTGGACAGCTGCTTGCTTTCAGAAAAGCCTAGGCTGGCTCTCCAGGAAGAGGACAGCGAGCTCCTGCCAGAGCCTCATCCTCTACCACGTCCAGTAAGAAGGGTTTTCTTTCATTGTATCAGGCGCAGCCCAGAGGAAATTAAAACGGGGGCCTCATTTCACAGAGTAGAGGAAGCTGAATGAGCCCACTGGAGCAGTGATGGAAAGGGAGGAGGTGGTGCCGCCAGTCTGGGGGCAGGACTGCTGAGGGCACCAGCCTTCTGGTGGGTAGGGAAGCACAGAGAAGACGGGCCCTGCCAGGGAGGCTAATGTGAGCCAGAAGGGAGGGGGAAGCACTCAGCTTCTTCCATCCACCCGCCCTCCAGCCTCCCAGCATGACCCTCCATTGGTAGAGCCAGCTGGAAGCCACTTTTCAAAGGAGCCTGGACAGTTAAAGGCGTCATCCCTGTGATGAAAAGCAGGGCAGGGGCAGGGAGGGGTATGGTCCTCAGGAAACTCACAGGTGACGTGGTGCAGCCTTTACGGATTGAGTGTAGCACTCAGGCACTCACATCTGACTGCCAAACCACACGCTTTTTACAGAGTTTCTGTAAGGATTCATGATCACTTTGGATTTAGTCAGACATATGAAAATAAGTACTTAATGCAAGCCATTGTACATATCACTGTTGCTTTAAAAAAAGGATTTGATTCATGTAGGAAAAGCCAGTTTTGAGCAAATATTTTTAACAACAGCCATTATTAGTTTTCAGTATCTCTTCCCTTTTGTGATTTCTCCATTTCCTTGGTTGAAAGCACGCACTCTAATTACTTAGATGCTGGCTCTGTCTCAGGAAAAGCAGTTCCTTCCCAGGGCCAGTGGTTGCATCCAGGACAGTTCTCCGGTAGCATCTGCCCACCCCAAGCTGGGAGACTGAGTCCGAGGCCTCACTGGTTTGGGGTCAGTGTGTGGAGGGCACTGAGGGGCACAGGTGCCTGGGCACCTTCTCTGGCTCCTCACATTCTGCCTGGGGGTCTAGGAGCCCCTTCCAGCTGGACTCCTCTTGGCTTCACTTCCTGTCCATGAGGAATTAGAGACGTCAAACTGGGAGGCCCTGCTGCCCCCTGTGGGCACTTGTGGTGTCCCAGGCCCGTGCTGCAGCGGCTCCTGCAGGGCTGACATCTCCAGGATCTTCCGAGCTGGGGGAAGGGGCAGCAGCAAGGCCTCCCACTTGGGATTGAGGGGAAAGACAGACACTCCAACTGCCTTTGTGGGCAGATAAGGGGCCACCAGTAAATTCTTTAAAACAAAGATTAAATCAGTGAAAACATGTATTTGTGGTTGTTGGTGTTCTGATACCATTGCTTCTGAGATGTTTACTTCATGGAAAACTGCACGTGTTAGTGGGGGTCCTGGAGGTGTGTGGCTGAGAGTCTTGTGTGTGTCTTACAGCAACAGTGTGCCATGGACGGAACCCCAGGTTATGTCCCCAATGCTCACCAGTTTGGACTCGTACAAAGCAGCCATTTCGTGCTGCCTTTCAATCCGTTGGCTGTCAGAAAGAGGTAGGCCTTGTTCTGACGTTCTTATAAGGCATCCTATTGCTACATGAATAGGGAGGTATTCTTTGCAATGGGTCTTCCCCAAAACAGCTTCTTGTATTGATTATGGAGCGCTCAACTGGCAACCGAAAGGCACGATGAGAAGGCAAGGAGATAGGAAAGCAGCCTTCATGCAAACCAGATGCTTACAGCGTGGAGAATGGGGTTCCTGCGGTTTATCTTCACCTCTTGTAGATGATGGTTGGGTTAGCCTCCGTGTGATGTAGGAAAGAATGAAGAATCTACCTAAGTCACTCCTCAGTCCAGAACCAAAGTCCTCTAGATCTATCATCATCTATAGACTTTCAACACCATTCTATTGTAAGGATTCACTAATCTCATGAAATTGTCTACCCAAACTCTCACTGTGCCCCTCAAAATCCCCCGGGGCCACATTCACATTAGTCAACACATTCTATCTTGCCCTCAAACTTGCCTGTCCCCAAGGAACCTTCTCAGGGGACGCTGGCTCACATGCCGCAAATCTAGAGGCTGAGGCTGGCCAAGGTACCTCCAACTCCACCTCTCTCCTCTCTGCATCGAATCTCTGGCTGATCTGAAGTTCATGTCTCTAGACTCTGCCACACCCTGCTCCTCTTGTTGTTGCCCTCCGTGATCAACCCCCACCCCCACCACCTTCAGACTATAGCTTAGTGTCCTTTTGTACCACTCCTACTGTCATTCTCCACGAATTCACACCCTCCCAACACCGGGCCTTCCAAGTCCTCTGGTTCCAGTCTGTCAGAGCTTTTTTTCTCCCTCCTCAGCCACACTCTCCCCATGGTCATACCCTTATCAACTTCATAAGTATTTATTCCACCTCCAAAGTCTCTACTTTAAGCATCCTATGTACTTACCTCTTCCTCATCTCTACTCTGTTTCTCAGCTTCATCAAGACCTCTAAGCCCTCATGCTTTCTCATGATCATCACCCCCTTCTCAAGCCCCGAAGTGCAATTTATCCCCTACTCTGAGAGGTGGGATGCCATTGTTACACATTCCTTTGCAAACCCCCTTAATGCCCTCATCTCCTCTACCTTGACCACAGGTAAAACCCACACTTGTTCTTGGCCTAATTCATGCCAGAACCCAAGCTGGTGGTCAAGGCTGCAGAAATGCATGTCTCCTTCCTACCTGGTTTGACATTAAAGCTATGGCCACATATAGAACCTCGGGCTACATGGGGAGCCAATACATTTCTTTATTATGCTTATATATTTTTTTATTATTTCATAGTTTCTCCTCTTATCTCAAAACTCATACATCCCACTTCCTGCCCCAGCTGATGACTTGCCTCACTAAGACAGAACTTCATCTGTCCACCTCCGAAAAGAGCAATCCACTGCTTTTGTCCCCACACCTCCCCCTCTTCCCCTGCACCGATGGAGGAACAGTCCTCGTTCTCCTCTCACTCGCCCTCCAGAGCTTGTCACCTCTCTCCTCTCAGAGACAACAGCAGCAACCATATCTCCTTCTTTCATACATAATTCTCATCAACAAAGAATCCTCATCGCTCTCATCATCAGTGAGAATAGGGGAGTAAACACTGCCAGAGACTGTCTCAGTATATTTTACACACACACACCCTAACTTAGTCCTCAGAACTATCCTATGGGGAAGGTATTATTGTTGTCTTCATTTTATAGACAAGGAAATTGAGTGGCACAGGGAAGCCACGTCATCTGCTCAGAGTCACACAGCAGAGCTGGAATTCAAACCCAGGCACTGCGGCCCTAGAGTTTATGCCTGTAACCATGCACTCTCTAGTAGTTTTTAACTTTTAAAATAGAAACTCTGCAGGGTACCATTACTGTGCAATGGTGTCCTGGGTCTGTTGTGCAGTAAGATTTCTTGAAGGAGTTGTTTTATGTGGCCGTCTGCCTTTTCTCACCCCTCATTTCCTCCCCTACCCATCCAGTCAATCTCCCCTGACTCCTCTGTTGCTCTTTAACATATATATATATATATATGTATATGTGTATATATATATGTATATGTGTATATGTATATATGCATTATATATGTATATATGCATTATATATGTATATATATATATATTAAAGCATTATATATATATATATAACGCTTCATGAATTTGCATGTCATCCTTGCACAGGGGCCATGCGAATCTTCTCTGTATTGTTCCGATTTTCCTGTAAGTGCTGCCAAAGCAAGCACTCCTTTGCTCCTAGTTCCAGAGTTGTCCCAAGACCTGCTATGGCACCTCCTGTTGTACCTCTGCTGCTGGGCCCTCAGCAGCATCATGCACACTTGGCCACTTGACATCCTTGACCCACACACTCCTGATTTCCTCCTCTCTCCCTGCTCAGTCTCCTTTGCTGGCTCATCTTCCACCAGTGAAGGCCAAGGTCCTTTCCCCATATTCTCCCAGGTGGCTTTGAAATACCTTCAATTTGCCCAACACCCACATCTCTAGCCCTGACCTTCACTTAGAACTCAGGATTGTGTACCCAGCTGGCTACTTGTGTGGATTGGGACAGGCTCCTCAGTCTCAACACACCAAAAGGAAATTCACAGTCTTCCCTAAACCTGTCCCCCGGTCTCTGCTATTTCTGTGGACATCATCCCCATCCACCTGGTTGTCCAAGGCCCAAATCTTGAGGTTGTTTTCTTTCCCTCACTCTCCAAATTCAGTCCATCCGCAAGTCCTATTGCTTCTTCCTCCAGAGCATTTCATGCATTCGATCACTTCCTCTGCATCCCCCCGACCACCACCCTGGCCGAAGCCACCACCAGGCCTCTAACAGCTGTCTGCCTGAGCCTGCTGTCACCCTGGCCCCATCAGATTTGTTCTTTACATCTGAAGTTTCTTTTAAGATATAAATCAAGCCATGCCCACTCCTCTTCTTAAAACCCTCCTGTGACTTCCCAATGCACTTAAAATGAAACCTAAATACTGCCTCCCAGAGCCCCTCATTCATGAGGCTGGAGCCACACACCCCTTTCCTATCCCAGGTTGCTTCAATGACCCCACATTGCCTTTGCAGGATATCACCAGACACAGCCTTTCCCTTCCCCACTGTGTGGTGCCCTCTCCCACATAGCTCTTGTGAGGATTTCCTGCAGAGGTTCATGGGGCTTGCTCCAGTCTGTCATTCCGAGTTCAGCTGAAATTCCATCTTTCAGGGTTGCCTTCCTGCCTACTTAACATAGCCACCACTGGCCTCCTCACCACCCAGTCTCAGCCCTCTGGTATATTTCTGGAATTAGTTTCATGGGAGAAAGGAAACCTCCCTTTGTTCACTGCCTTAGCCTCAGCTCCTACAACAGTGCCTGGCAGATATGGGCATGCAGTGACCATACCCGCCTGAGATGCTAAATATAATGTGGAATAATTCCTGGGTCCTCTCTTTGAGGTTATTTTAGAAAGTAAATGTGAGGAAAGCTTTTTCTTTTCTGCGGGCTGAGCTCTTCTTTTCCTCCAGGCTCTCAGTTCAGCTAAGTATCCGAACATTTGCCTCCAGTGGGCTGATTTACCACATGGCCCACCAGAACCAAGTGGATTACGCCACGCTCCAGCTGCACGGGGGCCACCTCCACTTCATGTTTGACCTTGGGAAAGGAAGGACAAAAGTCTCGCACCCTGCACTGCTCAGTGATGGCAAGTGGCACACGGTACGCTCCCAGGAAGCTTCTGGTCACGCCTTCCAAGTGTTATTCCATCTATCCCTCGTAGTAACATTATTCCCTTGGGTTTCTAGCTTGCTTTGTGCTTGTCATCTCTCCTGTAGAATGTAAGTGTCTTGCAGACAGGGGCCTTTTCTGCTTCCTGAAATATCCCCAAGACCTAGCTCAGTGCCTGACCCCTCATAGGCACTCAGCAAACATTGGTGGAATAAATGGAAGGTCCCAAAATGTTCTCAACTTGACAAGAAGTAAATTAAGTCACCTATGGTGTGAATGGCCCAAACCTGAGATCATGGCATCTGCTCTCTTATCAGTCAGACTCTGGCACACTTACTTTTCTAAAACATGCATTGCCTGTGCCTACTTCCGTCTTCTGCCAGGCTCGGTCTCCAGGCAACGCCAGCTGTGTAAAACTCTGAGCCATCCTTTAGGATGTCAGTCAGGTTATTACAGCTCTAATGAACCGAGTTGCAAACAAACATCTGTTAATGTTTTCCCAGCCTTAAAAATCATGGATGTTTTCGTTTTGCTCTAGGTCAAGACAGAGTACTTTAAAAGAAAGGGCTTCATGACGGTTGATGGCCAGGAATCCCCCATGGTGAGCACGGTGGGAGATGGCACCACCTTGGATGTGGAAGGAAAGTTGTACCTGGGAGGCCTTCCCTCCGATTACAGGCCCAGGAACATTGGAAATGTAAGCAGCATTTTCTGTATGGGGCCCTTATTACCTTCATCTTTGTTGCGTTTACTTTTAGAGGAGCATGTCTTTGTTTAAATTGTCTTGCTTTTGGACCTGGGGTTTGGCTGTAAGATGCAAACCTTTCAAAGCACATCTCTAGTTTGTGTGTGGGGGCTTCCCCTTGAAGCCCGGCCAGCCCTCCTTTTAGTTAATGAACATCTGTCTTTCCACAGCTACTTAGATCCAATGAAATTTGGGAAAGTCCAGGGACTTTGTGTTTGAAGATTAGAAAACTCATTCTTGATTTCCATGATATTTATTCAAAATAATAGAAAATACATATACTGCATTACTAGCAAAGATCCTTAAAGAGTCTAACTAAGCTTTCAGTTAGACCTTCATGTGAAGTACTGTGGCAATTCCATTTTAAAAATCAAATGATAATATTTGAATGTGTTTTGTGGAACTACAGGAAAATGTTGCCCTTGCCCTCCTTGTTATATTCACGGCCATCCCCTCTCACGTCATTTGGTTTAGGTCACCCACAGCATCCCCGCTTGCATTGGGGAGGTGACAGTGAACAGCAAGCAGCTGGACAAGGGCAGCCCAGTGTCTGCATTTGCAGTAGCCCAGTGCTATGCAGAGGCCCAAGAAGGAACTTTCTTTGAAGGAAGTGGATATGCAGCTCTTGGTACGTATTATCGAAAATCTCAAAAGACATCTCTGGGATTCTCTTGTACTGTAAGATGATATGGACCCGGGAGTTATGTGACAGGGCAGGACCCACCGGACAAGGCTGCAGCAAGACCATTTGGTTACATGTTCCGGTGTATTCTGATTTCTCCACTTCTAATGTACAGCTTTCTCACTTCCTGTGCCACCCAGATGGCCTGACAAAGGCTCCCACCCCAGGGGCAGCGCAGCTCCTGGCAACATGTGGCCCTGCTTTCATCTGTACCCTCCCCACGTTTATGTAAGACATGCTCTTGCTGTCCAAGTTCATAAAGGCCTTTGAATTAAAAGTCAGCAGCATAAAATACCTAGACCAGCCAGCCAGATGAAAGTTGGATTTGATGAAGAAATTAGCTCCAGTTAGATTGTTGAAAATAGCAATGAGAAGTTGAGGAATTTTAAATCTCTAAATTGCTTTAGAATGTAAATTCCTCCAGGCTTAGAACTAGCCCTCATAATGTACCTGGCATTGCCTCCTCATTTTAGACACTTAATTTGCTGGTTGGCTTCCTATTTGCACTCAGAACCATGCTCCTCTTCTTCCTGTTCTCCTTTCTGTCACAGGGAACTAACCTCTCTGGCTACTTTGCCCCACGGCTTCTAGGAAGGTTCTGGTGAAGACTGGGGCAGGAGGGAGAAGGGGAGAAGCTAGTACACTTTTCTCCTCCACTCTGTGCTTCCAAGCTCTGGTAATACCACCTGCTTCCATTTTTCCTTCAGCCCTGGGTGTGGTAACAACTTCCTGCTATTATTGCTAATATCCCCAATTTATCTCAGCTTTTTTATTCACCCGAATAAAAAATTTGTTCAATTAAGTCTTCACTTAAAAAAGAAAAACAAAACAAACAAAAAAACCTAGTGGGGGCCCTGGCCTGGTTGCTAAGTTGATTCGAGTATTGTCCCGTTACACCAAGGTTGTAGGTTCGATCCCCAGTTAGGACCCATACAAGAATAAACCAATGAATGCATAAATAAGTGAAATAACAAATCAATGTTTCTCTCTCTCAAATCAATCAATAATTTTTTTAATTTAAAAATTTTTTTAAAAAGCTTGTGTGAACTCTAATGTACTCAGTGAATGATGTCATACCCAGTATGTAGATATTGGGCAAATAAATGTACTATTGCACAGATGATAAATCCCTTTGCTTTTTCCCTGCGTGGCTCTAGATGAGAGGATGGGCCTGCTTTGACTTCAGTCTGGCTTAGCCCCATTGATTGTGTGTCTTTAGAAGCATCACTTCATCTTACAGATGTGCAAGCTGAGGCTCACAGGGGAGAGGTGACTTGCTGGTGGTGGAGCTGGATCCAGAGGAAGAGCTACTAGAGCCAGGTCTCCCAAACCTCAGTCAGGAGTTCAAATGTCCAGCCAGTCCAGCCTACTGTGGGGTGGTGGGATCTCTCCAACCTGAGCCTTCTTAGGCTGGGCAGGACTCACCCATAACTCGGGGCTCTCTTTGTGTTTTTCAGTCAAAGAAGGCTACAAAGTTCGTTCAGATGTGAACATCACACTTGAGTTTCGTACCTCCTCAGAGAACGGCGTTCTCCTGGGGATCAGCAGCGCCAAAGTGGATGCCATTGGATTAGAGATTGTGAATGGCAAGGTAGGTGCTTATCTGTATCAAGTCACCCTTTGCCCCAGGGTCTGAGATAAGAGCAGTTGAGAAACAGTAGAAATACCTAGACCTACGCTTTAATGGAATGGAGAAAAGGTTCAATATTTAAAAAATAGATAATCTATATATATAAAAGGCTAATATGCAAAGTGTCCCCTCAGGAGTTCGACCAGGAGACCGGGAGTTCAATCGGGAGACCAGGAGTTCGATTGCTTGCTATGACATGCACTGATGACCAGGGGTGGTGCAAACATGGCGGGCGACCAGTGGTGGCGGGTGCTGAGGGAGTGAGGGAAGGTGGAGGCAGGGAGGTGGGAAGGCGGAGAACCTGATAGGCCCTGATCGCCGGCCAGACCTATGGACCCTACCTGTGCATGAGTTTTGTGCACCGGACCTCTAGTCCTAAAATACTTTTAAAGAGCTTCTTTTATAATTTTAAATTTGAATTTAAAGCAAAACTGCAACTATAATACAAACAACTTCTTTTTCCTGAACAATGTGAAACCAAGTTACTGAACAGATGCTCCATTTTTCCTAATTTTATTTGGAAATAATTACAGATGCATAGGAAGTTGCAATGAAAGGTCCTCTTTCACATTTTGCGTAGGCTCCTCAGTGGCAGCATCTTGCATAATTCTAGTGCAACATCAGATCCATGAAACTGGCATTGGCACAATCCACTGAGCTTAAGTTGAGCCAGTTATACAAGTATGTGTTTTACCATATGTGTAGCTCCATATACCCCACCACAATCAAGGCCCTTAATTGTACCACTACTACAGTCCCCCTGGAGCCACCCCTCTGACTTCCTCCCTGCATCCTAACCCCTCGAAACCACTGATCTGTTCTTCATCTTCAGGATTGTTATACAAATGAAGTCGCGCAGTATGTGTCCTCCTGAGATTGTCTTTTCAACTCAGCCTCATTTCCTGGTGGTTTAGCTGGGTTGTCATGTGTACCAATAGTTCATTTCTATTTGTTTGCCGAGTATTCCATGGGATGATGTACCACAGTTTAATTTTTTTAATGCAAAAAACCCACAATTTTTTCTATAAGTATTCTGCTCTGGCTTTTCAGGCTCTAGTCTTCGTGTTGGGAACAAAATGATCTCAATAATTAACAGTACTTTAGTCTCTTGTTTTAAAAATATCTCCTTCAGCGTTTCTGCCAGTTCTCATTCTTCCTCTCCCCTTCAAGTCCATACGGGTGTGCTTTATTCACTAGATTAAGGGGAAGGGAGCCTTAATTGGCCTTTTCCTTTTCCGTGTGCTCTCTCCTGACAGCGGATGAGGTATAAGGACTTTCTAGATCTTCAGTCACAGCCTGTCTTTGTGCACTTGGCCAGTTGTCCCTGGTGGCTGTAGGAGCATTGCCAGTGCAGGGGGACTGTTCCTGGAGATTTGGCCAATGTCCCTTGTAGACCAGGCTTCCCATCTCAGTTGTCATAGGCATGGCTGCCTCTTCATCTTTGGCCACCTTCTGTATCCCCCAGAGGGTCCTATGAAAACCTGGGAATGTCTGCCCTGCCACTCATAAGACATGGGGAGTCAGGGTGGTGGACGAGGGTCCTCTCTCTACCATTTCTGCCACCATTTCTATTGAACTGTGGTCAACTCAACGTTGCTTGGGACTAACATGCTTGGCTCTTCTTGAGCTACTGCCTCCTGGAAAAACAAGGAACAAGTCTCTATGCTCTAGATCCCCCCAAACTTACCTCTTGTTTCTCGTATTTCCTGCTTACTCTCCACAGGGGTTTTGGTTCCTAGGAGATCCTAAATGAGAGTGGGGAGAATAGAAGAAAGTCATCTGACCTTTTGGTTCATCTACCTCTTCTCCTTCTTACTTTACCATCATGTCCAAACAAAACTGCCTCTACATCATATTGCTGCTCTCTACCCTGTGGCTTATAGCCAACTTTCTTCCTCATCTGCACTTCAAAAGGATTTTGAAAATTATGTGACATTTGAAAAATGTTATCAGAAGTGTAATGTGGTGAGCCGGCACGGCCCTGGGTGAACCAGTGAGGCGGCAGTGAAGGATTTAGAAAAGACAGACAAGAGAAAAAAGCTAGGTCTAGATGTGATGTTGCTCTCTCTGATGGAGAGACAGTGCCACAGCCTGCAAGCTGAGTCTTTACTTTATAGTCAGATTCCAGGAGGCAAACTAGGGGTGTTTACAATGTTCTCCCAGGTTTCAATTCTACTCAATTCCATCCACCTCATCAAGCTTTGTTTACTTGCTGCACCTCCTGCAGCCCATATCACTCAGCCATGGGGGACCACAGGTTCGGACCATAAGGTCAAGGTCACAACTATGGCCGTTGGCTCTAATTGTGCTGGGAGTTGCACGTGGCTTTGCCACGAGAGCATCGTGTCCTCTCGTTAATCTCAGGCTTGAACCTGTCCAAACGCTGTAGCCATTCTCCAGTGTATTAGTTGTAAAAAATGTAATGTTTGATGTACTGTGTATTTTACCGCTGTTACTGGCTTATTTTATTGTTCTTTTAAAACATTTTTAGTGGTTGCCCAGGGTTTACGATATACATCTTTAATTTGTCACACAATCTACCTTGAAATAATACTGAGTAGCTTCACACATAACATAAGAACCCTACAAGAGTATACTTATAATTCTTCCCTCCCATGTGGTTGTGGTGGAGCATCGATAGTTTGTCAGAAGGGAGTTAGTAAAAGTTGCTCCATAGGTGCTAGCAGCTGCTAGGAACTGACACCCGCAGTAAAGCCATCGGCTCCTGTTGTCCTGAAAAGGGGGAATCGACTTGAGGACACAATGCTACGTTAGGTGGTGGCTCAGCCGTGTTCCCATGGAGGTGGCCGTTGCCCTTCCTGAAATTTCAGGGATAAGATAGCATCTGAATTCTTTAAGAGGCTATTTTTAAAAACGAGTGTTTATTTTTTAGTTTGCTCCCCTTTTTGGCAAAAGGCTAGTATTTTATCCACTTAAAGTGATTTATAGAAGTGGACTGGGCTCCTTAAATACGGAAAACTTCACTAAGATGTTTGCTTGTGTCTGTTGTTTGTTTAGCTCTTATTTCATGTTAACAATGGTGCTGGTAGGATAACAGCCGTGTACGAGCCCTGGATGAAGTCCGTGTTGTTTCTCTGAGGTATTAATCAATGGTTGTGAGCGGCATTAACTTCCCGGTGTTTATCTCTGCCGCCATCTTAGTTTCTCCATCTACCTCTTCTCCTTCTTACTTCACCATCATGTCCAAACAAAACTGCCTCTACATCATATTGCTGCTCTCTACCCTGTGGCTTATAGCCAACTTTCTTCCTCATCTGCACTTCAAAAGGATTTTGAAAATTATGTGACATTTGAAAAATGTTATCAGAAGTGTAATGTGGTGAGCCGGCACGGCCCTGGGTGAACCAGTGAGGCGGCAGTGAAGGATTTAGAAAAGACAGACAAGAGAAAAAAGCTAGGTCTAGATGTGATGTTGCTCTCTCTGATGGAGAGACAGTGCCACAGCCTGCAAGCTGAGTCTTTACTTTATAGTCAGATTCCAGGAGGCAAACTAGGGGTGTTTACAATGTTCTCCCAGGTTTCAATTCTACTCAATTCCATCCACCTCATCAAGCTTTGTTTACTTGCTGCACCTCCTGCAGCCCATATCACTCAGCCACGGGGGACCACAGGTTCGGACCATAAGGTCAAGGTCACAACTATGGCCGTTGGCTCTAATTGTGCTGGGAGTTGCACGTGGCTTTGCCACGAGAGCATCGTGTCCTCTCGTTAATCTCAGGCTTGAACCTGTCCAAACGCTGTAGCCATTCTCCAGTGTATTAGTTGTAAAAAATGTAATGTTTGATGTACTGTGTATTTTACCGCTGTTACTGGCTTATTTTATTGTTCTTTTAAAACATTTTTAGTGGTTGCCCCAGGGTTTACGATATACATCTTTAATTTGTCACACAATCTACCTTGAAATAATACTGAGTAGCTTCACACATAACATAAGAACCCTACAAGAGTATACTTATAATTCTTCCCTCCCATGTGGTTGTGGTGGAGCATCGATAGTTTGTCAGAAGGGAGTTAGTAAAAGTTGCTCCATAGGTGCTAGCAGCTGCTAGGAACTGACACCCGCAGTAAAGCCATCGGCTCCTGTTGTCCTGAAAAGGGGGAATCGACTTGAGGACACAATGCTACGTTAGGTGGTGGCTCAGCCGTGTTCCCATGGAGGTGGCCGTTGCCCTTCCTGAAATTTCAGGGATAAGATAGCATCTGAATTCTTTAAGAGGCTATTTTTAAAAACGAGTGTTTATTTTTTAGTTTGTTCCCCTTTTTGGCAAAAGGCTAGTATTTTATCCACTTAAAGTGATTTATAGAAGTGGACTGGGCTCCTTAAATACGGAAAACTTCACTAAGATGTTTGCTTGTGTCTGTTGTTTGTTTAGCTCTTATTTCATGTTAACAATGGTGCTGGTAGGATAACAGCCGTGTACGAGCCCAAAGCTCCCCACACTCTCTGTGATGGAAAATGGCACACCCTGCAGGCGAACAAAAGCAAGCACCGCGTGGTGCTGGTCGTGGATGGGAACGCCGTTCATGCTGAAAGTCCACACATCCAGTCCACCTCAGTGGACACCAACAATCCCATTTATGTTGGTGGCTATCCTGGTGCGTATGGGTGTCAGCTCTGCTCTTTCACTTTCCAGGGAATTGTCGCTAGGGCAAGTCTGAATTCAGGTGGATACAGAATAGGGATTAAGGAAAATACATTGTTTGGGTAATAAATCCTTTAGCGTTTTAGAAAGGCTATTTCAAATACCTAGGAATTCTTGGGAAATTAAAATAAAATACACATGTAAATTTATGGTTAGGTAAGACTCAGAGAATATTGGATGTGATGCAAAAGAAGCTGGGGGAGTTTACTAAGGCAAGTCACCGTAGGTGAGTCCCATTATAAGGAATCATTTTTGGATGGATAATCATTTTAGAAGACAAATACATATCTTATGCATTTTCAGATGTTCCAAGTAACTGTTACAAATGATAAAATAAACACCTCTTATGACATTTTAAGTCACAACTATGCCTTTAAATTATTACATACAGTTTTCATTGACTTATCACAGAAGCCACATGTGTGGAAGAATATTATTCTAATTTTGATATAAAAGCCAGTTGAGGTTATTTTTGTTCTTATTGTGTTGTGCACGTCATTTTAACACAATTAACCAGGACTTCTCTTCTTTCCCAAGCAGCCGATGTAAAGCAGAACTGCCTGAGCAGCAGGACCTCCTTCCGGGGCTGTTTGAGAAAGCTCACTCTCATTAAGGGCCCGCAAGTGCAATCCTATGACTTCAGCAGAGCTTTTGAAATACAAGGAGTTTTCCCTCATTCCTGTCCTGGGTCTGAGCCCTGAAATTCAGGAAAACAACTCAGTTCGGATCAATTATTGCTTATATTTTGAATAGTTATTTTGTGAATTAAAATTTCTTCAGATTCCATTTCCAACTCAGGTTAAGTGTTTTCATAGAGAAAGTTTGTGTTTATGTTAAACTAAAACCACATGGACAACAAATACCTCTATTAAATAGTTTAAAATATACACTGAATTCATTGGCTTCGTTCAAGTTCTTTTAATGAATCTTTGTAGACATTGAATATTCTGTTAATTACTTGAATTTCACAGTTTTATTTGTAAGATTTTAGAAAATAAAATATCATTATAGACTATAATAGATTAGAGCAGAAAATGAATACTCTCCTGTCTTTACCAAAATTTTTAAGTTCCGATTTCTATAACAGGGAAGCAGTGCTACTGGTTATTCTCCAGCAGAGGGCACCAGCTGTTTGCCACATAAGCATTAAGATAGGCTCCAGGGGGTCAGAGGGTACAGGGAGCAAAGGAAAGAGCTGGAACCTCCTTTAGATGTATCGTTGTTGAGCCAGGACATAACAGCACTTTTCAGGACAAAAGGTATTGCAACTAGTTTGCTCTTCCTTCCTTGTCTTTTTATTTTCACCCCTTGGAGTGAGACAGTTTTCCTTAATCAGTTACTTCCTCTGGGAGATTGTGTACAACTTCAAAAGAAGGAAAATTTAAAAGCCACACATACATTCTTTTCAATGAACTAAGCAGTTTTAAACCCAGATTTCTGAAGTCTTATTTGATTCCCTCCAAATATATTTTGTTTTGCTCTGTGGCCATGGCTGGGGTCAAAATGTTTGTTATTCCATAATCTTTAGAAAACTGATTTCATTTTTCAAATGCTTACTTGGAGGTCTCTACCTCTCTTAGCAGTGACCTACTTTTCCAATCTGGAGGATGATAAATTCAATTTCTATTTCTGTGAGAGATTTTAATTTGATAAACAAGAAAGGCAACTGTGGTCATGTTCCCTATATCCATCTTCTGTGCCTTGCTCATGTTTCTGAACTCCTGAGGCCATCTGCACATCCTTCCCAGTTAAGTCTCTGCACGAAGATATTAGAGAAAGGTAGCAGCCGATTGGGAAGTCTGAGTTCTGTAGCACCTGGCAACTTAAGAATGCACACTCCTGCAGCCTAAAGGCAGCCACCTGGGCTGCTGGGTTAGGAAAGGAGATTTGCATCTTAGCAGTGAAAATGCACAAGGGGGGCCTCAGGGGACTGTGGGTGGCCTTTCTGTTCATGTTTCTATGGAAACCATCCACAGCAGGAGAGGACAGCCAGGCCATTCTAGACCTCAGGTTAGCACCTTGGCTGAAGAAGTGATTCAAACCGGGGGACAGGGCAGACTGGAGAGTTGCCTCAGACTTTGTGCCCCTCCCTCTCTCTTCCCTCTTCCTCCTTCTTACTCTCCCCGCCCACTTATTAGAGCTAAAACAGAGTTTGGGATTTTGTCAGGTGAGCATTAGTCATTCTGCAGAATCACTTCAAGTTTCATGTGCTTTTAGATTGTTTGATAGTGAAGAATGGCATGTTTTATACCTAAGATTTTAATCCACAAATAGTTTTCTTGCCATCAAGAAGTAACTGGACAAAGGAAATGTGTGTGGCATTGTATCTAATACAGGATGCAAATAAAACATTAGAGAGCTTACTCCTGCACAGACAATAAAAGGATTAATTGCATCTGTAAATACCTTTAAGAAGAAACATTAAAGAAACCAAATATCCTATATAATAAAACCCTAATATGCAAATCGACTGAATGGCAGAATGACTGGTTGCTATGATGAGCACTGACCACCAGAGGGCAGATGCTCAACGCAGGAGCTGGCCCCTGGTGGTCAGTGTGCTCCCACAGCGGGAGTGCCACTCTGCCAGAAGCTGGGCTCACGGCTGGCCAGCGCAGCAGCGGTGGTGAAGCCTCTTCCTCCTCTGCTGCAGTGCTAAGGACCCCTCGGGAGGAGCAGGCGGACATCCCCCACGGGATCCCAGACTGCGAGGGGCGCAGGCTGGGTTGAGGGACCTCCCCAAACCCCTCCACCCCTCCAGTGCACAAATGTTGTGCACTGGGCCTCTAATCTTTAAGAAGAAATCAAGTTCAAAATGGGGGAGAGCAAGGAAGGGTATTGTCATCATTCCATATGGGTATTGTGAACTGTAAACAAACCATAAGGTAGAGTGGTTGGGCCTGGATCAATTACTGAAAAGAAATAACAAAAATAACTAAGTTCCAACAGTTCTCGAGTTCTAGAAAGAGTCCTACAATTTTCAAAGTGCTCTTACAGAAATGATCTCATTTTAACAATGATTAGGCAGCAGGCAGAAATGACTTTCTTCATTTTACAGAGGAGGAGTGTCAATATCCTATATACAATATATCACATCTAATAACAGGGAGCCCAAGTAATCTGAATATTGGTCTAAAACTTTTGGAAACAGCTGCCTACTTCCCAAATGGCAGTACTGACCTCACAGGTGAAGTTATTTTTGGACAATTTAGACTAAAAATAATCCATAGGGGAGTATTTTTAGACCAAGCTATTAATCAAGATAACCCAAATGGACTTTTACTTATTACATAAATGACTCTCACAGATAATGAACAGTGGAAGTGGAGAATAAGAAAGCAATCACTAGATCTTTTACTTCCAAGCTGCTAAAGACAACATTCATTTATTCAATTTATATTGAACAACTATCACGTGCTAGCCACTGTGTTAGATGGTAGAGATCCCATTATAATGTGGAGGAAAAAAGGGGTTCTATGAAAAGTAACCTCAGGGGGTGATCTGATCACAAGTTCTTAATTGGGCAGGGTCATGGTGGATAGTCATACCCCAGGTATATAATTTCTTAGTGAGAGGTTTATCTTTGCCTTAAGCGAGCCCTATCCATTGTTTCTGTGCATCTAGTTTTGAAATAAGCCGCAACCACCACCGTCAAGAGAGCACATAACCCCAACCATCCTGCAACCCAGCCCTGCCTTGCCTTTTCCCACCAGCAGAGGCCATGGTGGTCACTTCTCTATCACCCTCGCGCGCCACTCCCGAGCAAGCAGCTACCAGGCTGGAGCAGATGCTGGTGATGCCTCACCCACTTTCCCTGAGCAGGTGATAGGATCACATCTACCAGATCCTACTGCAGCCGTGGCTCTTCCTGAGCGCTGTCCTTGACTCCCAGGGCCATAACAGCCGGGAGCGGCCCTCGGCCCAGGTTCCCTGGCCTGGAATCTCGCCTGAAACCTCTGTTGCCTGTGCCTCCTTTATCTCAGATCCTCAGCCCCATTCAGACGCTGCGTTTCCTGACCCCCCACCCCGACCTCCGCCCAGCCAGGATCTCTGGACAGGATTCCGGTCATCTTTATGGATGGACGTGGGCATTGGTCTACTTTTGAAAGAAATGGTACACAGCCCTAGCCGGTTTGGCTCAGTGGATAGAGCGGCGGCCTGTGGACTGAAGGGTCCCAGGTTCGATTCCGGCCAAGGGCACATGCCCGGGTTGTGAGTTCGATCCCTAGTAGGGGGCGTGCAGGAGGCAGCCGATCAATGATTCTCTCACATCATTGATGTTTCTCTCTCCCTCTCCCTTCCTCTCAATAAAGAAATATATTAAAAAAAGAGAAAAAAGAAATGGTACACAAATTGGGGAGGAGCGGGGGGCACGGAGTACAGCTGGCCCAGCTGGCAGCCAGGGTAAGGGTGCTGGGAGTGGCCGCTGGCCCGGGGGTGG